ATGCTTGATAAGAAATGTACTCATTATCTTGCCCATGTAATTGTAACCCCTCTGTACAGTATTTTCACACACACACAAAAAAAGAGTCTCACCAAGTTTCCTGCCCAGGCTGGCTCTCAACCACAATCCTCAGATCTCAGCCTCTGGAGTAGCTAGGATTACAAGTGTGAGCCACCAGTGCCCAGCTGACTATTCATTTTTATGCTAGGATTCTGAGGGTGACTTTCTTCAGATACCTTTATTTCAATTCATTTTAAATGATAGGCAGATAAATGACTTAACACCTACCTATGCAGAAGCATTTACAAGTGAAATGAATTAAGGACTTACTGAATATTGCTTTGTAAGAAACAAATGTGGGTTTGTGAGTCAAATTTTGGGAACATACATGAAACATTATTTTTAATCTTGTGAAACTTCATTTTTCAAGTTATCCCTTTACATTGTCAAATTTAATGATGATCCATCTTATGGGTAGCAACTGTGAAAAGACACTGACACTTCCACTTTGTTAAGAACCTCAGACCCTCAAGATGCTTGGCTTTGAGGTTTTCCTGATCCATTTCCCACTGTTATTACCTCTCTTCTCTCACCACTTACACCTAAATTGTTTCTCATTTCTCAAAAGTAATATCCTCGCACCCATTATATCCCACTGTGTTTTTCCTACAATTTCAGTAACATCAAAACCCTGCCATCATTCATCTGGGGGGAAAAGTCATGCCTTTTTTAAAAATATATTTTTGACCAATTCTATGTGAAGTCTCCAAGACTCCATTTTTCATTCTAGTAAGTTTCAATTACTACAGATAATGTATTTCAGAAGACATTTTTATAAACTCTTTATACACAGGCAGTTAAGTATCAATGTCTGAATTTAAAAGCAAGCCTCCTTTTTTAAATTAACATAATGAATTCATAATTGGGAAAAGACCTAACCACTAATTCTAAGGTGATGGCAGAAAAGTGGCACTCAGGGGTGGAAAACAGCCTATAATCTACCAACATTGGGGTAAGTGACAGACACGATCAAGTTGGAGGCTGCCAATGCAACAGCCACTGGTCACAGCAAGATGCCAAATACAGCTCCTGCTGTCATCGAGGCAAGTAAGTCTCCTGGGTGCCAAGTAAGCCCCGTGATTAGCTTGTCCCTCTCAATGACACTGTCAAAACAATACTAAATGTAATCCTAATGCTATCATAAATATACCACATGTTATCTTTTCATCATTTGTATACAAATCAAATCCTGCAACATTTGCTTTGGTAATTCCAACATGCTTGCTTTCCCCAAATTTTTAGGTAAATACATGGCAACATTTCAAATTCATTTTTCCAATAAGGTTCAAAGCAGTACAACTGTACATTACATAAACAACTGAGATCAGCTATGGTGACTCAGATCTCTGATTCCAACTTCATGGGAGGCAGTGATCAGAAGATCACGGTAGGGAACTGGCCTGGGCAAAAAAATATACAAGATCCTATCTGAAAAATTAAGAAAAAAAAGGGCTGGAGACACCAAGTTCAAATGCCAATATTGTGTTTTCCTTCCCCTGACACTCCCAAAACATGTTTTGCAATTGAGAGTTGAGGGTAAGAATCCTAACAATAGATAATGTAGAAATGATAATGATTATAAAGGCAGCTGTGCCCATGGCAAAGTCCCAGTCAGATAGACAGACATTGGAAGCCCTTCTTAGGTTGGCAGCAGGCTTCAGACACAGCCACATTCACAAGCTAACCTCCTACTTGGAGAATAATCT